ATGTGGGTGAATTTTACTTCAAGGTAAATGAAACTTGCTTACATGGTGATCACAACATCTTCATGGTTGCTCCAAATGATCGCGATGCTCATAATCCAATTCTTATCCATCTTGATCCTTCTGATATGTCATGGAATGAACGACATCATTACAAACAGGCCTACAAGAAGAAGCAGTATGCTGATTCAAGAAAGGAAAGACAGAAGGAGAAAAAGAGAAAGGCATATGAAGATCAAGCATCGACGTATCAGGGCAACACAGAGTGGGGTGGATCCTCATCTTCAGCGTCCAGACCATGGAGATCAAGTGAGTGGCGATGAGTGAGTGTACACTTCTTTAATTGAAGATAACACAGCATGAGAAGCCGTGTACAGTTTTTCTGTGCGTTCAACTTATTTCACACAGATGGCATATACTCTTTTAGATAGAGATAATGCCACAAGTGTCTGAACTTCAATTTAATGTAAAATAGAGACTCTTGTAAATAGAGATACTATATACATTTATCTCCATGAATCATCCGGCGAGCAGACAACTCCGAATGGAGCGAACTTCAAAAATTTACCAACTTCGATTTCAGTCCATTGTTTGCTTGAATGAGCAACTTTGGAGATCCGCTATTTCCGTTTATTTCGTGATTTGGTCAATTGTTTTCGTATGACCTGAATTTCTGAATCTTGCGAACCCGAACTTTTCAATTCGAACTTTCACCGGTAGAGCAAGGCATTTTGCCTATGGAGAGACCGTGCGCGAAGCACCATTGGTCGCTACTGGAAAAATTAGCGAATCCGCTGTTCTTTTTCGACATGTCCTTAGGACATTCGCTGCTTTCACGTGTTTTTCAATTCGAAGCCACTGCGTAACTCCGGTTTCTTTTGCTATTTGCCATTGTGTAGAGAAGTCAGGAAGATACTCTTAATACCAATTGGGTACGGCAAGGCGTAGTGCTCTACTCATTGCTTTTGAATTTGTGCCTGTGTTTTTGTTTCGACCTAATACCTACATAGGTACATGCATGAGTATTGAGCACATTTATATGCGCCCTCAAGGCTCAAGAAAGAGGTATATAGAGTAACCCTGTAGACAAGCACGGACCGGCAACAGGCTGAGAGTAAAAGAGTGCTGTCATTGGGGAAGACGCCTTAGCTGATCTTGAAGTAGACGCTAGGGCCCCTCTTCAGCCCTCCCCCCTGCACCCCCCCACCCGCTTTTATTTTTTAACCGGTTCCCCTTGCTACCTACTATTCCTTTCTTTTTGCATAAGCATCATCGTTTATTTGGGTTAATTTCATCTTTGTTGATATCCATCGAGACCTCTGCCTATGTGCTTCTTTCTTGATCTTCTCGTTCTTACTTGCAATATATCCATTGAGACTTGTGCCTATGTGCTTCTCTCTTGGTACGCATTGCGGGGGGAGGCGCTGCGCCCTCCCCCCTGCACCCCCCCACCCGCTTTTATTTTTAAACCGGTTCCCCTTGCTACCTACTATTCCTTTTTGCATAAGCATCATCGTTTATTTGGGTTAATTTCATCTTTGTTGATATCCATCGAGACTTCTGCCTATGTGCTTCTTTCTTGATCTTCTCGTTCTTACTTGCAATATATCCATTGAGACTTGTGCCTATGTGCTTCTCTCTTGCTACTGCTACTGCTACTGCTACTGCTGCTGCTGCTGCTACTGCTACTGCTACTGCTACTGCTACTGCTACTGTTACTACTGCTACTGCTACTGCTGCTGCTGCTGGCTGCTGCTGCTCCTGCTCCTGCTGCTGCTGCTACTATACTACGACGACGACGACGACGACTACTACTACTACTACTACTATACTACTACTACTACTACTACTACTACTACTCCTACTGCGACTACGACTACGACTACGACTACGACTACGACTGCGACTACGACTACTACTGCTGCTGCTGCTGCTACTGCTACTACTGCTACTGCTACTACTACTACTACTACTACTATGATATTTTTTTTGATCTAGGTTTGCAGCACGAAACCCGTGAGGTCTCACACAGTGGCACCTGGATATTTTTTTTGATGCACATATTTTTTTTGATGCGCGCTGGATATTTTTTTGATGCATTTATATTTTTTTTTTGATACGTGTCTCCACCGGCACGTTGTTTCCATACCTGTTGCCACCCGTGAGACTTTATTCACGTCGCTTCGCGACGGCAACCGCCCGCACCGCATCGTTGGGCAGCCGCTCGTAACTGCCAATGATGTCGGCCATTGAGACCAAAAACATCCGAAAGTACTGATTGTCGGGAAAAAAAAACGCGAAGAATTTGATAGCCATGTATAGCGGACCAACGCAGTTCAAAAAATAACGAAAAACATGAAAAAACGGCGAAATTGCTGTTATTTACAGTGTTTTTGCGCGGTGAGAAGCAGAAACCACTGCAAATACCATGGTTTTTGAGGGTCAGGTGGCCAAAAACACTGTAATTTACAGCGTTTTTTTAACCAACGTCAAAAAACACTGGTATTTACGATGTTTTCATTCACACCGTAACAGAAAACAGCGTAATTTACGAGGTTTTTGGAAGTTTTGAAGCTAGCCGTCAAGCATGCAGAAAACAGAAAAACACTGTAAAAACCAGTGTTTCTGCTATCACAAAACGACGAAAATCAGTCCGAAAACGGGTCCAAAAACTCAAAAATCCGCCTCCGGGCCCGGCCACCTGCGGAACCGCAAAAAAAGATGTTGCAAACCAAAAAATTGAGGTCAAAAAGTTGAAAAACACGGGTTTTTTTCACTTTTCGCTTGCCGATTTTGGACGGGCGCGTTCACGAACAGGTGTCTTCCGTACTGTTTTTTACAGTGTTTTTTGAAGGCGAGCGTCACGACCTATCAAAAACAGGAGGTTTTGGCCGAAAAATGCCCCCCCCCCCCAGGTAAACCTGTAACCTTTTACGAGTGCCATCCGGAAGATCACGCCCCAGCACCTTCGGTGCGGGCGGATTTGTATGTGCTTGTGGTCACATTTGCCATTCACACGAACTATTTCGACGCGATGCAACCAGACTCATACCAGCACTGTGGGCTGAAGAAGCGCCGTTCGAAATTGTTAGCACACAAGCAAACATAGATCATAAGTGCAAGCAAGAGCACAAACGAAACCGCACCAACCAACCAACCAACCAACCAACCAACCAACCAACCAACCAACCAACCAACCATCCATCCATCCATCCATCCATCCATCCATCCAACCACAACAACAACAACAACAACACCATGCAAATCAGAGAGCTTAGCTGCAAAACGCTGCAAATACCAATCAAAACCATCAAACCCCAAAAAACGGGAAAACATCCCAAAAAAAACGGGAAAAAATTCCCAAAAAAAATTGCAGCCCGTTATAATATAGAGTATTTTTTTCAACATCATGTCAGATATTGATGATGAACTTCAAGTTATATATATGTACGAAGAAATTGCCACGACGACATGTACAAATGTAGGAGACCTTTGCCGCAAAAGCGGCTGAAACAAAGAGAAGAAAAAGCGTACAGCCGCCTTTTCCAACATGATGGCTTTCGTCCCACAAAAACCAGTGAAATCACACCGAGACTGTAATTTTTCCATACCCTTCCATGACTTTTGACACACCCACAATATATAAATATCTCTGAAAAACCGCTCTCGTTGTGGCGAAACCTTGGAACATCATTGAAGAGAAATATATCCATGTGCAAAAACGCACGGCCTCTTAGAGGCGCCCACACCAAGTTTATGGCATTGGAAATTACCCACAGCCAACACGGCCACCACGTGGACGTCTTCCGATGCCAGGTGAAATTCCTGTGGACGATGGAGTTGGAAAGGAGATTGTCCGACAGCCCAGTTCGTGGATGACCCGTGATGACCATGATGAGCGTAGCGTGGGCACCTGCGAAGTGGTGAAAGGAGATATGAAAGGATTGAATGGTGATGTTTATGGGATGTTATGGGATTTTATGGGACTTTATGGAATTTAATTGGATTTAACTATTGCAAATATGGACTTATATGGGATTCATAGCTGATTTATGGTGGCTAAGTTGGTGCAAATAACTCCAACAACATTTGGGTTTATGGTAGGTGTGGTTTATAAAAGTTGTTAATGGACTTTATAAAACTAACAAACATTACTGGGGGTGTATCACCTTCGGGGGAATACCGAGTATGGGGGGATGAATATTGAACTATAGTCAGATAGCCCCATTGTGCCCCAATTCTACCCCCCGAGTGGGGTTAAAACAACCTGTTTTTCCACATTGCAACGCGCCAATGCAAACGCCTGAAAAGCTCGGAGCAAGCAATCGAAGTGGAATTCCAACCCATAAGGAATTGGACTCCCTGGGCTTTCTTGGGCTGAATGCGACCAGCAGGATGGAAACTCCTGGCTTTTTGACCCCACAATTTCCAACCATCATTATATATATATATGTATACTGTATACATAAGTGATTTCTATGCTGTTTCTTCTCCAGAGCAAAACCACTGGTTGGTGGGTCAACTTAAGGAAATGTGGCTGGTCTATTGTCTCACAAGTGTGACTTTTGCGGATTACCCTGCCCATATCACATTCTCTATATTTGGAGTATCACCCTTTACATGAAAGTAATAAGAGGTTTCCATGCGGGAGTTCCCATTTTTCTAGTTTGCTTATAAACCCACTGCACCCTGGTCATACACCAACTTACAGTGCACATTTCTTGGGATCCCCACATTGTATCACCCACTTTCTCTGCCATCCGGTCATCAACTTGCTTGAAAATTCCCAACGCCCCCTTCTTCGATTGCCGAAGGGTATTACAGTAGCATGTATTAACCAAGATTCCACTAGCATTCCATGAACGATTCCATCCTATACCATTAATCCATTCTATCTTCAATTTTGCACCATTGGACTGTTATAGTTAAATCATGTTAAATCCCCATTTGTTCGTTGGCGAAGTCCCATGTTTTTCTTATTTTTTGTCCGGTCTCAGCACCAGGTCTCCCGCATCAGCACCGACATCAAGACGGCGGGCACCTGCTACACCGACAGCAACGGACGGGAGATGATCTATCGCAAGCGCCACTGGCCAGAGCTGGATTGAGGGGTACCAAGGAGGCAGCATGGGGTGTATAGCAAGCCCTAAAAAGAATGACACGTAGTTTACTTGACAATCAACCAAACTCAGGGATGAGCCCAGAAAAGGCCAGCAGTTTGAGTTTGACAATGTTTACAGTGCTGGTTCAAGCCTCTATGAAGTTTCCTATGTACTGGTTTCATATATCTTTCGCGTTACTGTCGAATCGACGTACTCAAGATTCATATATTGTGGGGTACCCCAAAAGGTAAACCCCAACAGTCCAGTGGCTTTTGTTGAGCCCCTGATAGGGATTCATGTTTAGATTGATGGTGGTCCATGACTCCTTAAGGCCCTTAAGCCATCAAGCGATTGCGGCACATATAGATAATGCATATATATACATATATATAATGGGTGTGAAGCATGTATATCTATACGCTCTATATCGATAACATGCGCAACATATATTACAGTGTAATTTAATATATTTGATATATCATGATATATTATATTAATAATATATATATACATATTAATATATGTATATATATATATGTACATCTATGTCTATATACGATATATATAGAGATTCCATCAAAACCTCATGTTTTTGTTTCTCCCCCCAGGCGACTATCGCGCTTCCTGGAACTTCACCCAGACCGAGCCTGTGGCAGGTGGCCATGTAGGGAATGGCTACTGTTGTCAGATGGAAGGAAGAAATATCCGATATCCATTCCCTACTAATATTACCCACAGGCACCGTGTGTTGCCCAGACCCACAACTATGATGTTAGATGATGTTGGATGATGATGATGATGATGATGATGATGATGATGATATTTATTTAAACATGTTTACGGCCAGGCGCTGTGTGTTGCCCGGAAGGTTCAAAATATTTCAACATGGCGTTTAAACATGTTTAAATATTATCCTTTAACATGCTCAAACACCTGCGCAGGGCCAGTGTTTTGAGATTTCCGAGGAACCCTTAAACCCTAAAACCCTAAACCATCCTAAACCCTAAAACCCAAAACCCTAAAATCCCAAACCCTAAAACCCTAAAACCTAAAACCCAGGCTCTGAAAACTTTGAATCCTAAACTGGAAAACACTGCGTATACGCAGTATTTTCTGCAATCTCTCCTATCATATATTCGACAGCACGACATTCTCAATGTTAATGTCTGGGCAACACACGGCGTCTGTGGGTAATATTAGTATCCTGAAAAACAAAACACCATATGTGTAGATAAGCGTGTATATACATATTTTATATAATTTTGTCGGACTCCAAAAGTGACTAGATTGGTCAAAACCTCTCAAAAAGGATTCAACTGGTTCGTTGGACAAGTGAAAATCAGCCAAAAAAACATCGAACATGGTGCAATTTTGTGCTACACATGGGGGAATCTTTCGCTCCCATCCCTGGTGCCCTGGGGCCCTGGGGCCATGAGCGACAAAACCAGGCAACTATTACCCGGTGACTACCTCGCTCTTCATCAGGTGCACTTGGGCTGTCGAAGTGGAATTTACCATGGGATTATTTTGGATGATTTTACCGTCCACATTGATACTGCAACAGTATATAACCAACTTCTATATGGGGATAGAGTGGGGATATCATATCCAAATATGGGGTTTCCAGCGATTGCGTTCACCACCAGCCACACATTTTCTTGGAGCAGATTTACACCCCGGAGATTGGGGACAGTGATGCACCCGGCGTGTGTTGGTAGACTCCTCGGGATGCATCCTCTGCAAGATGACCATCCTGGAGTCCAGTTGTGTCTATATCTTGGGACTCCACAACTGGCTTATCTCAAAATTCAGGGAGAAATGATTTTAATATATTTTAATGATTTTATGGCGTTTAACATTGCCACAGATAACCCACTTACTCAGCACCTGATATCAGGAATCATCGTAGTATGGGATATTATGGCCATGGTCTTTGGTGACGCATCCAGAAAACTTTGCGACTGAAACCTCAGAGAGAGCCATAGTACCCGTCAAGGGTAATTTGTGGGTTAAAATTCCCATAGTTGTGATATTTGTGCATCAACATTCCCATATCTATCGAGCAGACTTCTTATTTTATGATATGTTTATTATATGTACGTATATATATATATATATTATGTATGTTATGTTATTATATACAACAGATACCATCTGGTTATTTAACATAGCCATGGACAGATCCACCATGTTTAAGTTCGGTAAAGCATCTATTTCTATGGGCCATCGTAATAACCATGGCGAACTGTTAGTCATAACCAAAGGGTATAACAAACAATTACACATTCTCATATCATGTTATGTTATGTTATGTTATATATATTATGCATGTTATGTTATTATATACAACATATATAACAAACAATTACACATTCTTATCATGTTATATACTCAACAATTCCTGCATTTGTTGCTGATCTCCAGGGACGACCAGGCGCAGCTCACCGTCTTGACAGACACCTCTCAGGCGATTTCCATGGGATTTCCATATGGGATTTCCATATGGGATTTCCATGGGATTTCTGGGCGACACATTGGGCCATTGTGAGTGGTTGTTGAATGGTTATCCTCTGGTAAACATACCAAAAACTATGGAAAATCACCATTTTTAATGGGAAAATCCACTATTTCAATGACCATTTTCAATAGCTATTTTGACATAACCAGAGGGTATAGATGGATCTTTAGCCATGTTGATGGACTAGTGGAAATATACCACTGAAATATTGAGGTGTAGTTTTTGTAGGTATCCATTGTGAGACTGGTATGACATTCCATTCATCTATAGGATTATATTGATGAGCGAACCACGAGAGTCTGCATGTGTTTGTTTCCATATACTCGTGGCAATATCCCCTATTGAAACTCTCTCGCACCATTCAATGATAGCTGAAAGTCAAGGCTCTGGGAACCACAGATATTTCTCTTCTTTGTAAGATGTATGTAATACAGTGTATATACAGTGTATGATATATACATAGAGATAATACAGAATAATATAGACATATACATTGTATACACATAAACAACCAACTTTTTGTGTACCCACTGGCATCATTCGATCATGTTTTTGGACCTGGACAGGCTGGCACGGGATGCGTGCGCGATGGAGAGATCGAGATGATGGTTCACCGAAGATTGTTGCAGGACAGACTCCCGAGGGCCTGCCCACTGTATGCGATGAAAGACTCCACAAATGGAAAATGTACACATCTTAATGGATATGATATTCCATGATAATTCCATGTCCATATAATTCCATATATAAATATTCATTGGAGTTTATATCTTTAGTGGATGGGGATGGCAACCAACAAATATGAAGATATGCACTAGATATGGGAATAGTGCCAATAGATATGTGATTCTCGGAAGTCCTCATGGCCTTACATGGAATCCAGTTGTCATAATATATATATATATACATATCCACACATATTGATATTTATATTGATGATGATGATGATGATGATGATGATTTTGAACAACACGAATTATTCTCCCAGTAGAAAGGATGATGGCCGTGGAGTCGGGGAGCCCTTGAACGAGACCGAATATGTCACCTCCTACGTGGCATCTGGGCGCTGCATGACACGTTGATTCAACCATCATATCATACTGTATACTTATACCCTCTGGTAAATAAACATAGACCCTGAAAATAACCAATTTTTAATGGAAACTAATCTTCCACTGCCACTATGAAGTCTAGAACGTACTTCACACTTTATACATTATATATCTTGGTAAATTATAACGACCTCACTGCAACCTCACTGGAAATCATAGTTAGCAAGGGGAATCATCCCAAAATGGCCTTAATTCAGGTTAGTGAAATATTATAATTTACCCAGATACTGTATACTTACAGTATACTATTTATCAATCATAATGTATACTAAACATATCATATTCAAGCATCATTATAATGTATTTAACATTATATAACGTATATTCAAACATTGTTAGACATTATTGGTCATGGTTTCAACATGTTTTAGAATGGTTCAACCATCAAATATGGACGAATCCCCTGAGAACAAACATCGAACCCCAAATAATAGTGGAAGATGACCATCCACGGAATTTTCCCGTCCTTGCCTTCACCGGTTTTTTTTGCACACCACATTCGCAGGTTTGGGCACTGTATTATAGTAACCCCCCAACAAAATGCGGAAAAAGTAGCATGAAACTCCAAAAATGGTGGTGATATCTACATTTTTTTCTATATGTTTTCTATATCTTTTCTACATCTCCAGACATGGTGATTCAACTGGTGGGGTCCAAAAAAAACACCTTTGGTGAGGCAAATCCCAAGGGCCAACACTATGGCAATGGCTTGGCTTCTTTGGCGATAACCAAGCCGCGCGCGTTTGTCGGGAATGGGGGGCGTCTTTTCACATGCGCTATTTACTGGATGGATTGGATTAGTAGACTGATTACATCTGATTACTACTATCAAACTATTTTTGTGGGTTATGATGATAATAGATTGGATTGGATTGGATTGGATGATTCTCTGTGTTGAATGATTTGAATGGATGGATTGGATTATTGTTATTTATTGTTATTGCGCGGACATCTACCAAACTTAGCTCACTCGGTGTCATCAAACGTGGCGTTCAATGGAAAATCCACCATAGAAAGTTTGATGATTTTCCCAGCGAACTAAACCTCCATTGGTTCGAGTATTTCCTTTGCCACCTTTGATTACTGGAGGGTACTAGATGCTTTGGCGTACTAAATGGTAGTAGTATTCCAGGTGGTGAACAGTTTTTAACTTGCTTCATTCATAAATGCAGATGGGTGTTACCCCATTGTTCACAACCAATATGGTCATATAAATGGTGGCAAAAGGAATCTACCAAACCATCAAACCGAACAGCCTGAACCTCCAGACCATGTTTGTCTCACTTCTCCATCATATCTCTATGTTTTTGTTATTTTAAGATATTGTAAACCCATTTGTTCCTCATTTGTTCCCAAAAGGATATTCCAATATCCCTTTATGATGGTAATCGTGTCTAGACCCTTGGTTTATCTTGGTTTAATATGGCATCTCTTCCTGACCTGGGGTCCCAGATTATATAGGGGATTGTATTTATCTGACACTAACTCAATTTATTTTAAACTATTATAGTTATTTGATCCTTATCAACCATATATATATATACACATAATGATGATGAACGCCCTCCACTAATGGTTGATCATGGTGAATGGTGGTTGATAAAGGTTGTGTACCAGTCATGTATATCTAACTATCTTTATCAACCATGACAAACCATCATTCAGCAATCATGATTGCCAATCTCCATCATTTTCAAGGGATGTTATGTTTCTTATTTGCTCCCATTTTCAAGTGATTAGTCCCTTGTCCCCATTTCAAACGTCCCCAACGTCCCGCCACCGGGAACCGCCATTCAGGTGGTCCGGGGTCAGCACTGGCTGCATCTGGGCCCTCCACAGAGTGCCGCTCAAAGCTGGCGGCCGCTGATGGATCGGATGTACATGCCACTGCTGCCCTTCTTCACAAAAGGCTGGAACGCACCGTGGCCAGACTGGCCAGATGACTGGGGGTGAAAATTAGAGGATCTAAGATGATGGAAGTACCTGGATCTGGAACTATAATGCTAGTATCTAAATAACCAAAGTATTCAAATGGTAGCTCCTTCTTGAATTACTGGTATATATTCTAATCTGTTCAAACCATTTTCACGGGGAATAGATTGGTTGGAAGGGTATCCATCAGATTGGTCCTGATAGCTGGGGAGCTCGTGAAAGGGCTCCCACAGATGCACTAAAGGCCTCAAGTTTTCTTCAACATCTGGGAGATTGGAGGGATTAAACGATTAACCACCAAAAACATCGATATAAGCCTCAATCAAATATGGATTTAAGATTTAAGCATATTTAAGCGGTGATGAATGGGTTCTGGGTGTCTGAACATGGGGTTAATGGATCCCCTATGACCAGGACATGTGGGGACAATTTCGTTGCCAGATGGAATGGTCCCATCTTCGGAAGGTGCCGTTGACATGGGCATGTTTTGGTTCTTGAAGGCCTTGCCCAAGAACCTGGAGGCGGACGGCAGGGTTCCACAGAGCTGCAATTTGATATTGGCTGGCTGAAAGCCATGGTCCATTTTACTTCAAGGACCTATGATATACCTATTATACCGTATATTAAGGCTTTGTAGGCTTTATTGTTTAGAGAGGCCCCGGGTTGGGTGACTGGTAATTAAATGTAATTAACACACCTCCCAGAGACGACCCTCTCATTTTCCTGTGATTCTTTTTGAAGAAATTATTGGTGGTTCCATGTTGGGAGTACACATACCCTAGACAACAAATGACTACACATGTTTGTTTCTCTGCAAACCATGGAAACCCAAGATATCAACTGTATGAACTAGTATCAACTTAGGTATACCCTCTGGTAAAAACTAACATAGCTATGGCAGCTATGGAAAATGACCATATATGGCGTTCTGTTCCATAGTTCTGTTAGTTTACCAGAGGACAACCATTCACAACCCACTAAACATCCCTTATAATTATGAAGGGTTATGTATTACCCACCAATAAATCCCATAAAATCACCATTAAATCACCATTGAATCTGTTTTTTTGGGGGTTCCAGGGTACCTTCTGAGCGTTTTTTTCGCTGCGCAGATTGTGTCACTGGCGAGTTGGGACGACAAGACGCTGCTGCTGCGGATCGGACACCAGTTCGGCGTGGACGAGGACGGGGGTCCCCGGGGTGCGGCGGTGCGGTGCTCGGGTCGTGGTGACATCCTGGGGGGTACAAAGGACATCCAAGGACTAAGGGCCTCAGAGAATTGCTCATCTTTAGATATCTTCAGCAACTTGAGTATTGAATCATCATGAACCATCCATTTTTGTTGATCATTTTGACCCATACTCAAGCGAGTGGATCCCCTGAAGCTTGGATGCTATTCCAAAGAAGAACAGCAAATCTCCAGCTGGCGGGTTCTGGATGTGTCTCCACAAAAAAGGGGAGACCTCAAGCCAATTCAAAAAAAAAATCACCAAACAAGAAAACAGGACCATTTTGAGGGTTCGAGATGGTGGGACCCAAAGTTGGATCTATCTATATCTATATCTATATATATCCCAATGTAGAGATCCGGTGCAACAGTGAAGACCACCACATGCTTTTCGGCTCCAGCGGGCCTCGAAGATGACGCCCCTCGAGCGCAGCCAGTGGGGTTTCGTTGGTGTGCGATGGCCGTTGCTTGCCTTTCAGAAGAAACCTGGGCTTCGGCTGGGTAGGATTCCAGCTGGATAGGATCACTAAAAGTGGGATCGAAATTTTGAGGAAATACTACCATATCCATCCACATCCACTGTCAGGAGGCGTAATTGTGAGGTTGAAGTTGCCAAAATCTTGCTCCAATGGTCTATTTAGTACAGCCATTTTGAAGCCGGAACTGAAACTTCATGAGACTTCACTTTGCTCCGCCCTGTCATCAGCTGCCTTAGCTGAAGAATTGTATTGAAATGTATCAACAGTGTTTCTGGGATGAAAGGCAACCTATGACCTGCAGCAATGCCACTTCCAGGCTGTGGTTGCTATCGCTTGCCACTTCGCTGATGTCGGCGAAGGGAGGGGCTGGAAGTGCCCAGTGGATGCTTTGACCATGGGGCCAGGGCCGGGGAAGTGGCTGAAGAATGGGAAGATTTCAACCAAAATGGGGTTTTGATGTCAAGAACATCAAGATATATCATGATATATCGATTTGATTCGATTTGGAAGTCAAGAACATCGAGATATATCATGATATATCGACTGTATCCAGTGTATCCAGCGATTTAAGGTAAGCAACAACTGAGGACATACAGCTATATTATATGATTGTTATATGATATATTGCAATTCACCAAAATGGGGATTTAAGCAAACCAAAATAGACAAGATCAACAGGCTTTGATTCTACACGACTTGGCAGTGGCATGTCTTGGCTTAGGGCCTTATCACCCAACCCCTGAATATTATTTTTGTGACCAACAACGAAGGCTAGATATGAATATGTACCCACATGTCTACTAGTAACTAGTAAGCAGAAAAAATGCTATTTGCATGGGATATCCATGGATATCCAATGTGCTCAATGTATCGTTCTGGATCCCTTGAGCTATCCTTTCCAGAAGCACAAAACTGTCATAGTTTGATGAAGCTCAACCAGAATCTGAATCTCTGATCATCTGATGGGGTGTGTAAACCAACACATGACTGGGAGGCACCACCTAGAATCAATCTAGAGTTGGGATGGTTTCAATACCAGGCGTTCCATCTCCAAACGAAACCCCAACAGTGTTGGGCGCCAGATTCTTTCTGTTTGGCAGCACCAACACCTGCATGTCTTGCCAAATTAAGCACCTTACCTCAAACTCAGGATCCCTTTCTCCAAAATGGAGCCGGACTTCTCTGTTTACTCATCGGACGCATTCTACAGTGCCTTCGAAAGGGAAAGGGATGAAAAGGGACACCCTCATAGCCCAAGCAGCAAATGGGACGACATGGGATTGGCCCAAGATTATTGAGCCCTAAACTTTGGATGTCATGGCCTAAAGTCAGGGTCTGTGATAATACTGCGCCCAATTGCATGGGTCTTGACACTGCCAAATTTACTTTGCTTCGTGGCAAGGGATGGGATGGATGACCATATCCCTCAAGGTGAAAGGAGTCCTTTCGAGGGCACCCACTCAGTGAACTACATTCCAGCGGACAGTCTCAGCAGCATGGCAGCAACTTGTGATCCCTGATGCTGATGATGCTGATGCTGATGAAGATGAAGATGAAGATGAATATGATTTGCAACCTGTACACATGAAAATACCGTGTGTCCGTGTTCCTACTGGCTTGATTGTGCAAGAAACGCTGCGTTTTCCCCAGGCTGTCACTGCTTGGTGCTGGTGTTTGGCCTCCTGCATGGTGCCTTCGGGATTTATCACCTCCAAACGCAAGGCTTTTTGGAAAAAAGCTGGGTCGGTCAAGCCCTTTAGTGACCATGGGATATCAACGGGATGTAAATGGGGATGTTAATTTCGGATGTTTTTTTCAAGCTTTAGATTACTTTAGTTCTTTGCTCTAAATGGATACAAACGTCATCAAATGAGGTTTTTTATAAGTAACCAGCTCAACCATCAGATGATTTTAGCCCAATGCTTTTAAGTGGGTTAATTTTGGGTGAGTTCACATCATCATTGGAGCACTTGCAGTATTTGCAGATGGTCTAGTAGAGTCTACTTGGGGCTAGATCAGATGAACGCAGACTGCTAGGAGAGTTGCGTCCCAATAAATGTGCGAGGCTGGACTGGATCTTTCTCTTGCTCACATCATCCAGGTATGGCATCAATGTATAGTATATTGCCTACATTTACCTCAAACATCACAACAAGTATACAGGTAAGCCGGTAAGCATATCATAGTACACTTAGGTTCATTGGTGGTTTGGCTTAGCTGCTTAGTTCGGGCACTTGATTACAATGGAACATCTCCTCCGGAGCCCGTTCCAATTGATGCCCTCATGGTTTGCCTAAAAACCAGACATTAAAGACCAACTTTCCAGTCCCTCGCTTTGCTTTCCACCCATAAAGTTCACTACACATTATATATATATACACGTATGTATATATATATATGTATATATATATGTATATATATATATATATACGTATGTATATATAAAACAACCTCATATACCTTCATACAGAGACAATCATCTCAATCTCCACGTCTCCCTTAGGTCGGATTCTTTTTACTTCAAGAATCCTTGATCATCCTTGATCTCCATCCATTTTCCCTCCTATTTTTTGCCAGGTTTCTTCTCGCACCTGCGGTTCCAGCTGCTGTACCTCCTCCAGTCCCTTAGCTCCCTGGCCCTCCTCGGCAGCCGCCTGGCCCTGCACCGCGGCACCCTGGCGCCGCTGCCGTGGCTGGCGCTGGGCCGCGCCGCGGCGCAGCTGCTGCAGCTGCAGGGCCTCAGCGTGGCCTGCGGCGCCAGGCAGCAGGAGGCGATGCCCGTGGCGTTGCTGGGAGGACTGCAGTGGATGCAGCTGGGGATGTCCTCCGTAGCCACTGAGGTGGGATGGATGGGGATTGATGGAGGTGGATTGGGGGATGAGATTGATGACATGTATTGAAATATTGAACCTAACAGTTGGGTTTGAGGATGCTTCAAAATCAATTATCTCTCCTGGATATTTGATATTTGGATATCATTGCCATATCACCTTCTCTTGTGCTTCTTGAGCTACGAACATCTCAGGCGAAGTTGCACTGGGGCCTGTTTGCCACGGGCCTTCTTTGCGGATATTTGGCACATTCCTCCCTGGGAGCTGTTTTGGAGGCTTGGCGATGTACGGCCCACGTCGTCTTCCGGGGCTGGCAAATATGATGTGAGGAGTTGGTTTACAGCAATTACCGGTTCTGGGAAAATGCGTTTGTTGTTGCAGTAAACAGTAAACCCCCTAAAATTGCACGCTATTCAAACATGTTAAAACCCATGCTTTCTCCAAATGTTCCCTTCAAGCACTTCATTGATGTGATGTCCAGACCCGTCATGCAAACAACAACAACAACAACAACAACAACAACAACAACAACAACAACAACAACAACAACAACCAACAACAACCACAACACCAACAACAACAACAACAACACCACCACCACCACCACCAACAACAACAACAACAACAACACCAACACCAACACCAACAACACCAACAACAACACCAACACCACCACCACCACCAACAACAACAACAACAACAGTAACAGTAACAGTAACAGGAACAACAACAACAGCAACAGCAACAGCAACAGCAACAACAACAACAACAGCAACAACAACAACAACAATAAGAAGAACAATAACAAGAACAAGAAAAAACAATAAGAAGAAAAACAAACAAATATGCACATGCTGGTAGAATATGCACATGTGTTTCGGGGGTAGAGTCATCATTGAAGATTTTAGTATCATATATAGATTATATAGTTGTAAAACAAGTTGGCGGCCAGTTGGCAATCAAACATGGCACTGCATCCATCATCTATCAAGGGGTACGAAGGGTGGATTTTTTCCGTTGCCAGCTTTGTTTGCCAGAAGGTGGAAACAATGTGAACCCCAGATTTATAAAGGATGCATGTCTTTGATGTGTGTTTAAATACACACTTGAACTCGACCACTACCACAGAACGGCCCAAACTAGGATTAATGGAGGATATGTGAAGGATTTTACCTCTGGGATAGCAAAGAATTGGCTGAATGATTGGCAAAGGAGTTTCTGGGTCCTCAATTTTTCCACCAATGATCTGTCAAAAGCAAAAACACCAACGCCAAACTACCATGACATATATATATATATATATTTTTTTTCTGGCCTTCGTACCAACCACTTGTGTAGGGGAAACCATTTGACCAAGGAAAGGTCGCGGCACTCAGTGGAGATCAAGGAACGTTTGCGGATGATCCTAGGTTTTTGCTACTTCATGAATGCAGTGGCTGTGGGGTTTCTTGACTTCTGGAAGGTTTTTTTTTGGAATTTTGGCTCCACAAAATATCTAGGTTTGGTCTACTTGAGGTTTTGGCCCTCAAATTGGAGGGACCAAGATTCACTACAATATATCTATATATATATCATTATAACATAATAGTTCGACTTTCAGTCAGTGGAACCTGTTTTTGTAGCAACAATCCTTCACCGACCAGCGCTCAAATGCAGCGAGAGTTGGGGCGCTGTCGCGGGAAAGGCACCATCTCTACCCTCTGAACAGCCATAGCCATGGACGTTAATGGTAGTTCAGCGATAGCCATCTAAATTTAGCCATTGTAATTCATAGCCTTTGATGATTTTGCCACAACATAGCCTATGCTAAACTACCATAGAATGACGGATTTTCCATTTTCCATATGTTACATTTAGCCATAGAATCCTACCAAGATCTGCGTAGCGCCCTGTTTCTGAGTGGTGAAACAGTTTGGCCCCTATGTCTATTGTATTCTAGTATTGCACAGCATTCCCAAGTGATTTCTCCAGACTAACATGTTTAGTTTACTGTGATCAAATGTGGTAATCTGAAATCTGAAACATGTGAGTCCATACTGTACCCGGCAGCTGATGATTCAATGAATCTTCGAAATCCCAAAACTTAAACTCCAATGAAGACGGTAGAATCACTATCCATACCTCACTTACATTTGACCAATTTCAAATGGCACAAAGTCGCATATACCCCCAAATCCATCCAAATCCCACAACCATGGATGGTCAAAGGCCAACAATGACTCAGATATTGATTCCATTGGTGCCCAATTACAAGTCATAGCCGCCATAGCCATCGGGGGACCATCTGAGGCTGTGGTTTCTGACCGAAACTCTTGGGCGGCCAGGTTACCACATGGGTGTCTGGACGGATTGTAGCCACTCAAGTTGTTCTTTTTTAAAATAGAGGGTTTACTATCAAATACAATCAAATACAGATTAGAGGTTTCCTGTATTTGTTGTTCCCATCCCGCTATTTTTTTGTTTGTACTGGGGATTACTGTAGATGATGAAAACAGTTAGCTTGAACTAATATAATTAAACAACACATCCATATATTCTGAAGACATCCCAGCTAGACTTGTTAGCTTCAAACAGGAGTATGAACCATGATAAACCACCAAGGTGTGTTGAAGATCACGCTCTCCACATATCTCCTGTTGAACTTTGCCATTGACCTGCTCTGGTTCGCGGGCGCCGCACATTTGTTGCTGAAGCGGCAGCAGGAGCATCTTCTGCAGGAGATCTGTGTGAATCTGAGCAAAGCCATGCAAGGTTGTGCCGCATAGTTAGCTAAGTTGCTTTATAACTCCAATAACTAGGGTTTATGATGGTTTATGGATGTTTATGGTAGCTATATCTATAGTTACTATGGTCTATAAACGAACTTATAACTGGGGGGGCACCACCTTGTGGGCAATTGATGACATGCCTCAAACTTTGAAAGGCGGGCGTTGTCAACCCAGGATTGATTTAGTTGATGATAATCTCCAGCATCTGGAGTTTGGAATGACCACCCTGGAGGCAAATTGACTGAGGGGTCATCCAGCCTGGAATCCTGGATTGACAGATTGACAGATTGGATAAGAAGGACCTGAATTCAAGTCGCGCAAGCGTGTTCTGGAAAAGTGACGCAGGGAATGGCCCTTGAGTGTAGCCACGAAAAGCGTGGTGCTGGACGCGTGGTGTTGCATGTGATTGTTCAAACTTGAAGTCTTCATCCCCAGTGGTGTTTTCACAGATGTTTCCTTTTCCGTGAACTTTGAACACAAGCGTATGGAACCGGCAGCCATAGTGGACCACCTAGAAGATGTTCATGTTTAATCATGTTTGCACCTAACATGACATGGCAACATGGGGTGTGGATGTTGCATATCAGTGGCACCACTTTGCGCCCAGAAAATCGTTGATTGGCAGTGGTCACACTGTGACCACCGGATGTTAGAAGCCACTGCTGGTGACGTGGGGTGTCGCGACGTGGCGGATTTGTGACGCAAAAAGAGCGTGGCCGGCACTGTGAGAACCATGGAGGATCCAGATCGATTTGTAGTCTGGTTGGTGGTTTAAAACATTTTTTTTATGTTCCATAATATATGGGATAATCATCCCAACTGACTCACTAAATGTTTCAAGATGGTAAAAACCACCAACCAGCAGTTGATTTTTCTACATTTTGTATCTTGGGATTCGTCCATCTTAATCTTCACTGGGTGTGAAGTTTATCCATGGTTCTTTTTTTGACAGTGTTTTGGGTCCTTTTGGTTCTCATATGATTTTGGGTCTATAAGATTTCCCAAAGTTCAACCAAACAGCAGATCCATTTCCACATGTGTTTAAATGCCCAATATGTACATATTTAGTCATATATACATATACATATATACATATATACACAATAGATATGTATGTCATGTCTATATCTACTTCAATAATTATATAATGTACAACAATAATATCCGCCGTCACCATTTATTAATGGTGGATATGCAAATTAGTTGCATGATTAGGGTCGATATATCTTGTAAACATCTACGCATTTATATACCTCCCATCCAAATCGAAGAATCAGTAAGTGCCAACATGCATCAATCAAGCATCGATAATGGTGGAATTTCTGATAATCTAATATAGCTATCGAACATGGATCACAATCATTCATATCTGATTCATTTAGTTCGGTGATTTACCCATTAAACATGGTGATTTTCCAGTTCGCTATGTAACAGACTACCAGAGTGCAACTCCCATTGTATCCCCATTAAAAATCCCAGGAAAAGTCCTCATTATATCCCTAAAGATCCCAGCCTGGTCCCATGGTGGATCTTCCAGCCAGGACTCAGAACTCTCAAAGCCGGCCACTGTTGACCTTCAGACGCTCTTCGCAGGCGACAGATGCCGAATCTAACGGTGAAATATTGGAGATATACCATGGGAGGGACATATATATATATATATACACCAGAAAAGAATGGGATACAATATCAATCAATATCAGATATCCCAGAATCACTAAATCAGAATCATCTTCCAGATAATGAGTCTGGTATATCTCCATTAAATGGTGAAATATGGTGAAATATATTGGGGATATCCCAGAAAATGTAATAGGGATGGAATGGGAATATCATTCGATATGTGCCATGGTCATGTTTCATATTGTTTCATGGTTCATTTTCCCAATTTCTTCGGGGATGGTCATCTGATGGTGGGGTGAGGAGGGCACCATATGGCACCATGAAAATCCCCTATCGGCCCTATCACTTAACCATGGCACACAACATATACCCTCTGGTTATGTCAAAATAGCTATTGAACATGGCAATTTATAGTGGATTTTCCCATTAAAAATGGTGATTTTCCATAGTTATGTTAGTTTACCAGAGGGTAATCCCTATCAAATGGTTCCTTTGATCTGCGTTCTTCTCTGTATGGTGATCACCCACCGTAAAAATATCATGAAATTCGAACGGCTTTCCTCATGGGTTTTTCCATGGTTTTCCATATGTTTTGTAGGTTTACCCTCTGGTAATCAAACATGGCAATGTGAAATTCCCCATTGATAGATGATTTTCATTATAGGGGATTTTCATTGATAGATGATTTTCATTATAGGGCATGTTCCTCGTGTTCATTCCCCATTGATATAGAATTCCCGTTGAATTGATAGATGATTTTCCATATATATGATTGATAAATTGAGAATCCCCTATAAAGGTTCAAACCTTCATTTTTATAGGGGATTCTCAATTGCTATGTTTGATTACAAAAGAGCGTAGCCTCCATTTCAGGGACCAAAAGGCTGAAAAAAATTGAATGCTATAAGTCGTGGGGTTTCATGTCATGGAATATAACTCCCATTAAATCCCGTATAAACACCATGTAACCCCCATACAATCACCATATAAATCCCACTAAATCCCATTAAATCCCATATAAACACCATATAAACACCATATAAATCCCACTAAATCCCATTAAATCCCATATAAACACCACATAAACACCATATAAATCCCACTAAATCCCATTAAATCCCATATAAACACCATATAAACACCATATAAATCCCACTAAACACCATATAAACACCATATAAACACCATATAAACACCATATAAATCCCACTAAATCCCATATAAATCCCATATAAACACCATATAAACACCATATAAACACCATATAAATCCCAATTAAAACACAGAAATCCCATGGGTGCCGCCGTTGCGACACGCTGCGAGGTGCTCACATCACCTCCATTCAGGAACGCGGCCTGGGCGGCACCATCTCCAGCGATGAAGTCGAGTGGCTTGGTGGCGCGTGCAGGGCGGGTACCAAGGATTAACCCTTTGGTAACATAACATTTAATGGGAAAATCTCCACTATAACTCACAATTTTCAATAGTTTTGTATGTTAGAGGGTAAATCCTCATTTTCCGATGGGTTTTCCTATGGGTTTTCCCATGAAAACCTCCATTTTCCTAGGGTTTTCCCATGAAACATGGTGATTTTCCTATCGTTATGCCGTTTCACTGCCGTTTCCACCGAGGAAGCGCCGCATCACCTGGCCCCTTGAGGCGGGTGGAAACGCCGGAAACGCCGAGGTTCGCCGTCCCCGTGACGGGCGCCACGGGCGCCACGGGGCGACGGCGACCACGGTGACCTTGGGGCCGTTGCAGATCAGGCGCCGGGGCGGTTGGGACAGGGAAAAATAGGCGAAATGTGGGGAAAATGATGGGAACATGTGGGGAATTCTGCGGAAAATGGTAGATTTGAATGGGATGTTCTCTTTTCGGCCTAAGAAGCTGTGTGTTTTGTATATTGTTTCGTATAGAATCCAGCTGTATCCAAGTCACAATCGTGGACTTTACGAAAGAACATTTGAGGATTCTAGAAAGGAAAATGCAGTCTTTACCAAAAAAATGGTAAGATTGGAAGGGTCCAAGATTTATGGTCAAGCGGAACAAAGATGAATTGTTCAGTTAGAAGTACTGAGTACTGGTTCCATTCATTTTTGGGTACCTGTAAATGACTCCATCAGGCACAGGCTGTGAATCATTTACAGGAGATCAATCTACTAAACCGTTATACTGGTCTACCATCTACCAGGAATACAATACATTCCATGATCTATCAATAAATCGATATGACATCATCAAGGTCCTCAATTGTGGCATGGAAGTTGGGGGTACATATCCAATGATGTACCAATGTGTCTATTACATACATAAATTCCAATATACATACCAATATAGTCCAATATGTATGTGCATATACCATATTTATATACATAAGTTTATCATCGTATCATATTATCTATTTCTATCTCCGTTTGTTTGTCTCTCTGTCTATCTGTTTGTTTGTTGGCCTGTTTGTCTAGCTGTCTATCTCTATATTTGTCTATATGTCGATTGTTGTCTATTTTTAATTATTGTCCTATTTGAAAATTTGTCTATCTGTTTATCTCTATATCATCTGAATATCCCTCATTATCCCTCTCTCTAACGCTATCTCCATCTCTATCAATCTAATCCATCCCAACCCAACCTAATCTTATTCCATCTAGTCCAATCATATGGCTATGAATCAATACCTATTAATAGCATTTTTAGAGGGATGAACATCCATTCACCAGCTATTTTGATGTGAACAGAAGGGGTACTATTGGTTTTGACCCACTGCCATATAGAATCTACACCGACACCGACACCGGCAGGACCTTCCTCCTTGAGATGGAGAAGGCCGGCGCCAACTCTCCCATCGTCATTTGAGGCGTGGATTGAATCGGCCGAAATGGGAGACTACAGAGACTACTGTATAGACTAGATACTGGTTGATGGTTTGGAGCATGTTTTCTATTTTCCCATATATGGCCCATATATATTGGGAATGTCATCATTCCACCTGACTCTCATATATTTTTCAGAGGGGTAGGTATACCACCAATCAGAGTCTATATAGACTATATATATATGATTATGTAATACGGATACCCTTTGGTAATTTGATATAGAGTTATACAGAACATCGCCCATATAGTTCGAGGATTTTTTTCCATTGATCTGGCTGTTGCAAATGGTGATTTTCCAAAAATCTAGTGTGCAATTACCGGAGGGTAATCATAGTATTTCAGCAACAAGACTTGGAATTTATTGGGGTAATCATTATTCACTGTGATTGAATGGTTTCATGAATGGAGATTCAGAAAGGGCTTTCACCAACAAGCATTGAGACACACAGTGGGGAGAGTGAGAGATCAAAGTTGCGGCATCAAACCATCCATACAAATTGGTTTGACAAACAATTGATCATTGGACCCATATGTCATTGATCAAATTTATGTCATTCATAATATTTAATAATTCTGACCCATTTTAAAACATCCTGTTGACAAACCTTCTCAACTTTATTCAACTGTGCTTTTAGCGGGAATGAGCCATGGAATTTTGGTTTGCCTAAAATTGGCATGGTTCCGATCCATGCCCCAATGTTGTGGCGTGTCTTAAATATTGGGTACACCCAATAGCAACCAGTTCTTTACCTTGTGGGGGAGTTTACATGTATGATGTAAACTGTGCGGCTTATTGTTGGGTTTACCACATGAACAGATTTTCACCTTGGCGTTTCATGTTCGCCACGATGAACAGATTTTCACCACATTGGCGTTTCATGTTCGCCACGATGGATGAACACATGACACGTGAAACCCCAATCCCCGGCTGGGTTTCTTGGTCGTTCCCCTCGTGGCCACCCAGGTTAGGTCGCACGCACTTTCCCGTCGTGAAATCACATGGGAAAGTCGAAAAAATACACCGTCACAAGGACGGTCGGCAGGTGACTGGGTAGTTGATCCGTCACCCAGGGGTGAGAGCTGGCCGGGGATCGCTGACGTCCTAGAAATCATCCCATAGCTGCCATAGCTTTTCAATTGGGGAGGCTACAATATCATACAATATCTACCATACATGATGCATCCGAGCTTCAAAGGTGAGCTTTTACCTGGGTAGCTTCTGACGAACGGCGACGACACGTGCCACGTTTGAAGGGGCGGAAAAGCTGTGGATGTGTTGGATGAATCCTGGGATCCTGGGATCCAGTTTTTGGTTAGGAAACGACCCCCCACCGTTGGGTCCCCAACGTTGATCCAACAATGAGAAGTGTGCACATACTCTCGGCCTGCAACCATGGTGAAGTACATACCAGACATGTCTGCGAGGTATTTTTGGAGCTGCTAGGGGCTGTAACCACCCATGCGTGCTGGTTTCAATGTCAATTCCCTTCAACATATAAGCAGAAAATAGAAATGTGACTGACCATCAAAATGTATCAACATGTAGGGATTCGTTTTTCTATGTTGTTCCTTACTTTTTTTGATAATGACCGTTTTTGTTCGGGATGAGTTTGGAACAGCAAAATCTTTTTTTTTAGCATGCTTGATCTATGGCTACAGATCATGTCATCCAAGTTTGCGACCATTTGTGAAGGGGAAAACCAGCCCGGAAACATTCATCCATGGCGGGTGAAATCCATGGTTTCCTGTACTGCAACTCTTGTGCCTGACGCAATCCATGGACGTGTAAAAAAGGGAAAGAAACACTACAGAAGATTGTAACCTACAAGATTTTGTTGCTCTGTTCGAAATGCAAATAGTATATTGTTATTATTATTATGACTGGTTGGTTTTTTTTTTTTTCCCACCATATTGTATCTCAACTGACGAACTCATATTTTTGGGAGGGGTACTTGTAGGTATACCACCAACCAGATGATGATGATGATGATGATGATCACCTTTGAATCTTGAACAAAATGGCATGGATCAAAACTACCAGCCAGTACACGGAAGTGTGTCACGGACGGGGGCCTCTCTCAAGCACCAAGCAGTCTCTGCACACGGACCATGACCCGAAGGTGTACAATTCAGATGTGTTTTTTTTCCAATACACCATCATACACCTGCATGCAGATGCACTCGGCACATGGATGCACATATGTATATATATATAATTATTATACATACAATACATACATTGGTTGTATATATGAACGCTAAACATCCATTTCAAATATATAAGATTATATAAGTTATATTGGATGGATTTGGCAATAACTTTAGCTTTGATTCGTAGTTTTTTTTTTTGGGAGGGGGTGATGGATTTACCCCATACATAATCTACTAAACGTTAAGCTTCAGCGGAGGGTCGACAAACCACGAACCATATGTACATACCCATAGGATCCATGTATGCCATATATGGTAACATTTACCATCAATATACCCCAAATGTTAGCATATATACCATACATGGATCCTATGGGATATGTGATCATATGTTCTTGAACATTTCCACTGCGTGCTGAGGTTTGAGAAGGTAGTTTCGAGCGGCCGAGATAAAATAACTTTGTTTCGAGATAGTTTTCTACAGTTGTGGCCCCTTACCAGTTATAAGTACTGAACTAACCCCATTTACAGAATCTATAATCCCATTTATAACCAGTTATAACCAATAAATGGCCATAACTGTAGATAGCAGTTTCAATCTTGCTTTTTTCAGTCGCCATGGACACCAGCGGCCGGGTGCGCCGGGGCGTGACAGATGACTCCAGGAACGAACTTGGAAGAAAACGGTTGCTCAGTGTATTCGGTCAGTGGGGTCTATACCGGCTTATTATACTCTTGGTGTATATGATACAGGGGTGTATATGATACAGGATTATTAGAGTGGGGAAACCAAGTATGCCGATGAATCAATGATGATTAATGAACTGATCTAAGATATCTAAGGCAGAGTGGACGGGAAACCATGGTTTGTACCACCATTTTTTTTTATGGGGGAGTCTCGTATGATTCAGAGAGCCCCGGTGGAAATTTTACCACGGTGGCACTGTGGTGATGATGACGACGAGGAGGGCCAGGGGATGAAGATGACGATGGCGGCTGGGCGATTGCTATTTTGATGATGCGGACAGTGATAATGATTCAGGATTCATATGAGTATATAAGATTATATAAGAGTATATAATCATGTTGTATATAGCATCCCAGTGAAATTGATCTTTTTTGATCATTTTTGGAATATTTTTGGTGATGCTGAACACTTGAAAAAACCGAGGCCGCGACGTTCTCCATCCACCTCGACCGCGCCTGAAGCAAGTGGGGAAGGAAAGTCTTTGGAGATCAAAGGCTTGGATGGATCCACCTTTGAGCTTCAGGTTTGCGATGATGCAACCGTCGAAGATGTCTACAAATACACCTCTGCGAAAATTGGTCTGGAATCAGGCAGGAAATTGTTGATGACTTCGGGCTGCATTATGCTGGATTATTCCAGACCGCTGCTGCAGCAAGTGCAGGGTGGGGAAATTAGTTTCATTGTCCAAAGAATCAGTTTGAATGACTTCGCAAAACACTTTTGGAACGCAATCCAAGCTGAAACCAAAGAATGTCTGACTGCTGAAGATGTAATTACAATACGTGCAGCTGCAGTTGTTTCAATACACTTGGGTAAATTCCCAGTTTCAATACACTTGGGTAAATTCGGAGATGATTTGGGCGGTCTGACATTGCCATGCAGCCTGCAGACTTTGACCTTTGGACATGGGTTCAATAAGAGTTTGGCAGGTTTCACATTGCCAAGCAGTCTGCAGACCTTGACCTTTGGACAATTCTTTGATCATAGTTTGGCAGGTGTCACATTGCCAAGCAGCCTGCAGACCTTGACCTTTGGAGAGAGGTTCAGCCAGAGTTTGGCAGGTGTCACGTTGCCAAGCAGCCTGCACACCTTGACCTGTGGAGAGAGGTTCAACCAGAGCTTGGCAAATGTCACATTGCCAAGCAGCCTGCAGACTTTGACCTTTGGAGTTTGGTTTGATCAGAGTTTGGCAGGTGTCACATTCAAGCATCTTGAGCTTTGGGGATGGGTTTGATTCTGGCAGGTGTCACATTGCCAAGCAGCCTGCAGACCTTGACCTTCGGATTTTGTTTCAATCAGAGTTTGGCAGGTGTCACATTGCCAAGCAGCCTGCGGACCTTGACCTTTGGGAATATGTTCAACCAGAGTTTGGCAGCTGTCACATTGCCAAGCAGCCTGCAGACCTTGACCTTTGGAGAGAGGTTCAACCAGAGCTTGGCAGGTCTCACATTGCCAAGCAGCCTGCAGACTTTGACATTTGGGCATGAGTTCGATCAGAGTTTGGCAGGTGCCACATTGCCAAGCAGCCTGCAGTGCTTGACCTTTGGGAATATGTTCGATCAGAGTTTGGCAGGTTTCACACTGCCAAGCAGCCTACATACTCTGACCTTTGGGAATATGTTCGATCAGCGTTTGGCAGGTGTCACATTGCCAAGCAGCCTGCAGACCTTGACCTTCGGATTTTGGTTCAATCAGAGTTTGGCAGGTGTCACATTGCCAAGCAGCCTGCGGACCTTGACCTTTGGGAATATGTTCAACCAGAGTTTGGCAGGTGTCACATTGCCAAGCAGCCTGCAGTGCTTGACCTTTGGGAATGTGTTCGATCAGAGTTTGGCAGGGGTCACATTGCCAAGCAGCCTGCGGACCTTGACCTTTGGAGTTTGGATCAGTAAGAGTTTGGCAGGTTTCGCATTGCCAAGCAGTCTGCGGCTTGGACGATTCTTTGAACATAGTTTGGCAGGTGTCACATTGCCAAGCAGCCTGCAGACCTTGACCTTTGGTTATGGGTTTGATCTGGCAGGTGTCACATTGCCAAGCAGCCTGCAGACCTTGACCTTTGGAGTTTGGTTTGATCAGAGTTTGGCAGGTGTCACATTGCCAAGCAGCTTGCAGACCTTGAGCTTTGGGGATGGGTTTGATCAGAATCTGGCAGGTGTCACATTGCCAAGCAGCCTGCAGACCTTGACCTTTGGAGAGAGGTTCAACCAGAGCTTGGCAGGTGTCACGTTGCCAAGCAGCCTGCAGACTTTGACATTTGGGCATGAGTTCAATCAGAGTTTGGCAGGTGTCACATTGCCAAGCAGCCTGCAGACTTTGACCTTTGGGAACATGTTCGATCAGAGTTTGGCAGGTGTCACATTGCCAAGCAGCCTGCAGACCTTGACCTTTGGAGAGAGGTTCAACCAGAGTTTGGCAGGTGTCACGTTGCCAAGCAGCCTGCAGACTTTGACATTTGGGCATGAGTTCAATCAGAGTTTGGCAGGTGTCACATTGCCAAGCAGCCTGCAGACTTTGACCTTTGGGAACATGTTCGATCAGAGTTTGGCAGGTGTCACATTGCCAAGCAGCCTGCAGATTTTAACTTTTGGAGTTTGGTTCAATCAGAGTTTGGCAGATGTCACATTGCCAAGCAGCCTGCAGACCTTGACATTTGGGCATGAGTTCAATCAGAGTTTTGGACTTGTTAATTTCCCGAATAGTTTGCAGCAGCTTGGTTGGCGCGGAATCTTTATAGACATGGCGGAGTTGTCATAATGCTGCCCTTTCTACCCGTTGCGCTGAGGTTTGAAAACCCAAAGCGGACGGGAGTGGCTGGCGGGAAATACTTGTAGACGAATAGATATACTGATATACTGTATTATAGAGATAAGATAAGATAAGATTACACAAGACTAGAGAACACAGAAAAATAGATCATAGACAGATAATAGACAGACAGACCAACAGACTGATTGACCGACCGACAGACAGACAATGACAATAGCCGACAACGATATATATATTTCTGTTAGGACGACAACGTCATAATTTAGAGTGATATAGTGATATTGTAATATTTGGTACAATATAGCAACATTCAGATAGTGACCAAAAACAGAAAATTTGCATTGTATAGTAATATGATATATATTCTATATACATGTGGAAAGATACATGTGGTATCCATACATCCGTTCACATACCGTAAGTACATCCATACGTATGCTCCATGTAATGAAACCACCGATCGGGATCACATCCGAAACATCGAGGTCTCGCAATCGGATGAAATTGCTGGTGGTGTTCCCAAAAACGAAGTTGTTTGTGCTACATTTTTTTTGGGTGATAACAACAATACCTGGTAAAATATATATATATATATAATATATATATATATATAATGTAAAATATATCATTAGGTCATTCCTGACCACCTGCAGTTGCAATAGATTATGTTACAATATGTTATATTCAAATGCCCATGAAGAAATGCCCTCGTTTCAGAAGAAATAATACGCTGGCCCATTTCCAGACTTATCATTTAAATTCAGATGATTTCCGCCATGTTTGCATATATGTTTTTTTTTTCCATGTGTTTACATTTTAACATGGTTTTCTCATGATTTTAACGCATCTTTCCAGTGATCAGGCCAGGTCTTTCCTCGCCAGGTGCAGTCCAGTCCAAAGAGGACTGGGCCCAGTCGTCACCATGGGGCTACACGAAGTCATGGTCATCCATGACGACTGGATGGGGGTACCCCCATGACGAAACGGACACCTCCATCTATTCTGGATGAATTACTTCGGTGTGATGTCACTGGAATGATGAGTAGGATTCGGGGAATCATCCCCAAATGGGAGTCTGATAACAATTATGTTCAGATTATATAGTGACTTGTTATAATTGTTATTGATAATTCAGCCAGAATGCTGCATATATCCTCCAAGGAATTTCCACTACAGAAACATGGGACTTGGGTCGTTTGTAAACTGTTTTTTTTTCCGATGATTTTTTCACCGTAAAATACAAACCCTGTATATACTCTATTATACAATTATATATATATATGCTATATATAAAATGTAATAGACCATATTATATAGATTCATTAGTTGATGGTCCAATTCGGTCCGATCCCATGTAATGTATATTTATATACTATACCAACAAGTGTTGTTGCTTATGTCAAGTGATCTACCACTGTAATTTAATATGTGACAGTGGACAACTCGCCGATACATGCTCCATGGTGCTGGTATATTTAGTGACAAAAATTGCCCAAAAATGAGCCAGTCATGTAGGTATAAACATACCGCACATGGAGCATATGGGTGACGATTTGATTTTTTTTTGTGCGGGAGGGTTTGAAACTTTGTTGGTTTGATGATCTTGTTTGGTTGAGCGACAGTTTTATTTCCAAGAGTTAAGGTTTGTTTCGGTTGGTTGATTGGATTCTAAACTCTTATTTCGGTTGGCCGAATTGATAGGAAGTACAGGTAGCTGCCGTTCCGGGGATTGCATTGTATCATTTTTTCGGGGGGAGGGGAGGAGTTGAAGGTTCCAGGTCAGTTTGAGTGAATTCATAATTACCCTCTGGTTATGTCAAAATAGCTACTGAACATGGCCATTTAATGCCATTTATAGTTGATTTACCAATGAAACATGGTGATTTTTCATAGTTTTTTGTATGTTTACCAGAGGGTATATACTGATTCAATTTTTTATGGGATATCCACTTGAGACCTGCACGGATACATCTGATTCATTCTGAATCCAAGATTTTGATAGATTTTGCTCCTTGCACGCTGCCCCACATCCAAGCTGGATTCCCTTCCCCGTAACAGGACCTACCGGGTACTCGTAATTGAACATAGCAATGGTATAGAAGGCCCGACCCATTTAGTTCGATGACTTACCTATTTCCAACATGGCGATTTTCCGTGACAAACTCTCAAATTACCAAAGGCTATTCCGATAAACTTATGACACTATGAGACAAATCCAAAGCTAGCCTGGGCATGGTTCAACCACCGGATCATGTGTTGAGACACATTTACAACCAGCAAAACTCGTCATGTTTATTGGTTAAATGAATGCGTTGTCCTTTAATTACGGCCTGAATCATCAACCAGACTGTAAGTTTTTCCCTGATATATAATTGATTGTTAGTATGCATATATACAGTACATATACAATATATGCACTACATATACAATATATACAGACATATACAGTAACATACATCTTATATATATAATTATAATTAATAATATATATATATAATTATATATACATTGTGTATATATAGATATATAGTGATATATATATATATATGTATATATATGTATATACATGTGACTTTCAAAAAATCTACGTTATTTGCTCGACTCCCAGAGGCAGGGCTCCGAACGGCGCTGGGTGGAACTGGCCTCCTATGGGGCACGCATGGCGTGGTCGGAACGCCCAGGGACGCCTGCCGTCCAGCGGCTCCAGCAGGGCTGAAAATGGGGATGTGAAGCATCGATGTCGGGATATAACCACAATAATGGTTACCCTCTGGTAAATAAACAGTTGGACCCTGAAAATAGCAAATTTTTAATGGAAACTAGTCTTCCAACCCCGATGACTGCCAGGGTCTATGTTAATTTACCAGAGGGTACCCTCTGGTTATTTGTTACAGTTTGCCATGGTATAGTATCGATGGCCCTAATCGAAATAGATGGCGAACTGCTAGTCATAACCAGATGGTTAAACTTATTTGTAGGATATGGTGATTTAAGCATGAAGAAGAAAAATATCATAAGTGGATATGGTGACTTAACCATCATTTTCTAGGGTTTCAACCATCAATATAGGGATTTTCACTGGTAAATAATGGTTGTATTTTTTTTTAATTAATGGCATTGATGCGCGGATTTAACTATCAAAGACGTGAAGATATCGTTGATAGAAAGTTGATGTTTTTGTTTTTTATTGTTTCAGCTTGGGCAGTTTGAGAAAGCATCAACATATGGTTGTGGATATCAATGATAAACAATGGTTGTTTGATGATTTTCTTGGGGATTATACTACTCTACTTCATCTTGGGGTTTTTCAGTTGGGATGACTTTCATGTGTGATGAAACTTCCTAAACCGAATTCCATAAAGATCATGGCTTTTCCATCTGAAACAAGCCTCAAAGGATCATCATTTTCGCATCATCTCCGGGGTCTACCCCTCGGCATTTTTCGCCTTAAATGATGATGAACCGATA